GTCCGTAAAGATCATTCACAACATCAATTCAACAATAGTAGCTTTGAACAATCCGCAGATTTAGAAAAGACCTTCATTACTGGTAGTTTGAACCAAATTTAAAGATTTTCGTTACCAGACCCAATCTACTCAAAATTGAAAGAACAATAGTAGTATTTGAACCAAATCCACAAGAATTAGAAATTTCACCAATCTGTTATACGCCCCTAATCCGCGCAAAACCATCGTAACCAACCAATTAGTTTGTTACATCCGTAAAGATCCACTCGCAAAACAACTTAACACTAGCCGCTTTGAGCCAATTCACTAAATTAAAAGATTAGGCCTTCGTTTCTGCTAGTTTTTGAACTCAATTCCTTAATTCACAGAAATTAAGAGTTTCGTTACTCGTCAGTTTTTTAATCCAAACCCACTAGTTTAAAAGAGGGGATTTTTTTTTTGGTTTTTTTTTGTGCACAAGCTACGAGTTTGAAAAAGAACCTAAGTTACTAATAGCTGCTGAATCAAGACTCTAGAATCGAAAAAAAGAGTTTTCATTAACAATAGTTGTGGGTGTCAATCTACGATTTATGAAAAAATAAGAATCTTTATTATAAAGAAATTTAAATAAAAGGTCAAAGAACTGTTGTTTGTAATTGGTCAATTATTTGGACGATCTGGGCGATCTTGGAATTTCTAGAATTATGAAAAGATTATTTTTAGATCACAATTTCAGATGATCACGTGGTAAGCTGCATTTTTTAAACCTGATTTACTCACAATTGTTTATATGTAAAAATGGGCTCTTTTAAAAGGAGACACTCCATATAGGGTGGAAATTTGCGTGTAAATTTCTGATATATAATTTTTTTGTTATGTAAATAACATTGTTCAGAACTTTTAGACCGGGGTAAAATCACTACCCAAAAAAGTTTCAAACATCACGTGGCAAATATATCAAGCACCAAAAATTCATGTAATTCATTTAACTTGAACAAAAAATACAAAAAAAATTATAAACTAACAAAATAATAATGATAAGCAAGTTTGTTTATTTCAATAAACATAATATTTATTACAGCTAGAAAAATATTATGATTTTATAAATATTTGAAATATTTCATTGCCTTTTAAAATGATTATAATCCTCTCCTAATTTATGCAATGGCTTTAAGTTTTTATTAATACTATCAAGCCATTTGTTATTATTTAGATTCATTATGTTTTCTCTGATAATTTTTTTGTTACATTCTGAATTCAAAATTATAAAACTTTTGCTCAAATAAATAATCAGTTATAGTCTTCCAGAAGAGCATTAAAAATAAAATCTACAAGATTTCTGGTACAATTGCATTTTCTTGATTAGTTTTTACAATTTTATTTTGACTTTCATTCTTTTTTTTCATTTATTATTAGTGAAAATTTGGTTACAGCAATCAATGCATATTTTTAAAATATTTAATTTTATGCCTTTAAAAGAATCACTTGGTTTGTTAAGATGAAATGATCACTTTTCACTTTGAAAAATCGAAGGAAAAAAAATTACTAAATTAGTCAATATCTTATTATCATGATCCTAATCATGATGAATTGACAATATCATGATTTTCGAAATTTTTTTTGGGTGGCGATTTTACCCCGGTCGAACTTTTATAGAGCTGGCACACAAAGTTTAATAATGCTAGAAAATTTTTGTAATAAGGTCAATAATCATGTGCTACTGCATTAATTAATGTAAAGGTTAATACGCACGTATAATTTGTAATTTTATTGAATTTATTATGCCAAAATAATAACTTAACCGAAACAGATGAAAACATCATTCGAAAAATTTTTTATTAGGTGTAGTTATATTGCTTCGGTACTATAGATGCAGACTTATTTACATTACTAGTTACGGCTCAATTGTATTTTATTTTATGATCTAATTTTTTATATAGGATATAACTAGGTGATGTTATAAGTCTGCATCTATATTTGGTACTGCTACTCTACAAGCACAATAATTCTCAAATTCTATATATATATTTAATTTTTATTCTGACCCGGGTTTGACAGGTAATCTTTGTACCCGAGTAGACCTGTTAGTCTACTCGGATAATCTGTAAGTCTACTCACAGGTAACCCAAGTTGTACTTTTTAGAACAGATACAATTACTACAGTTGGCATTGTTTACTTCCCAAATTAGTACAACAGAACAACAAACATGTCAAGACACGTGCCTCGAATACAACAATCTGATAAAGCAATGTTCTACAACTTGAATCGAGTACTAACTCCCTATAGTTTATGGTCAAAGAAGTATTTTTCTACTAGTTTTTGAGCTTTCATATACTATATAGATAAATTTAAAGTAGAGACTATTTTATTTAGTAGTATGTAATTTTTATAAGCCTTTCACAGGCTCATAATAGTGATCATTAGGATAGACAAATTTCTTTTTTCTTTTTTTGATATCCCCTTATCCCCTTTTCTTTCTTGTTTGTATCTTTTATCATATTTCCTTTTACTTCTGTTTTATTTTTTCTTTTGTGTTTGTGCTTTCGTTAATTTGGCTTTTTTGATGAAGCGTACAGCTGCTAGAGCTAAGGATCGAAGGGTTCATATCCTCAGTAAGTTGAAGATACAATATGAAACTAATTGCTGCTAGGTGGGTCATTCTTTGAGTTTAACTCGAGTTGATTTTTACTCAAGTAGAATATAGTATAGAAAATTGTATCTCTCTGTTGATATAAATTCTGGTACTTCCCAATAAAAAGTAATAGGCAGAACCGCTGAATTTAAAAAAAAACAAATATGGTTATTGCTATACTAACTTTTAGCCAAATATGGCTGCTAGTGTAATGATTTGTAGCCAAATATAGCTGCTAGTTAGAGATAAGCAAATTGTGATTTTTTCAAAAATTCTGCATATTATATGCAAATTCTACATAAGATTCATTAAACCTAGATATTGCAGTTGATCCTTGATTTTGATTGGCCAACAGCTGTGATCAACAAAATTCTGGCCTAAATTATACATAATTTGCCAGAATTTAATTTTTTAATTTTTTTAATTGCAAAAATAGAAAAATTTTTAAGGTTTTAGCCAACCAGAATAAAATCACTATTCAAAAAAGTTTTAAACATCATGTGACAAATATATCAAGCACCAAAAATTTATGTATTAAACAAAAAAAATACAATCAAAAAAAGCAATTTGTTTATTTTGAATAAACTCTAGTTATTATTATGATCCTAATCATGATAAATTGACAATATCACATGATTTTTAAACCTTTTTTGGTGGCTCAATTATTAATTATGTTAACACAGCCAGATATTATGTTAATGCTGCCAGATGATATGGTAATGCTGGCCAGATAATTTTATTTTGGGATCATATTAACAATCCTATGTGTGATTCTGTGCGAGATTATATACAAATCTTGCATGTACCTATCTCTACTGCTGGTGCAATGATAAGTTATTTGTGCAATTGTTAAGAGCACGGATGCTGGAGTAAAGATGGCAGCAGATTCAAAAATGGCAATCTTAACAATGAAAATGAATAGTAATCATTGTTATAATTTCTTTTTTTAAATTTTACCACCATCTATATGCTGGAGGCAAGTTTCAAATACCAAAGGCTTGGGTCTAGATTTTCAGGTAATTGGGTAATCACCTTTTTTTCTTGAAGTGTAATGGAGATTGAAAAAAAAAATATAGTCAAACCTCTCTATAATACAAGTTACTCTCGTTATGATGAAGTTCTTGGGCTGTGAAAATTTCTTCACTATATCGAGAGATTTGCTATATTGAGAGTTTTTGGTATAGTGAAGTTGATTATAAATTGTATAAATCTTCACTATATCAAGAGAAATAATAAATTTATGCTCTCAAAAATTTAATTAACAAATGTTATACAAAGTAATAGTTGCGTATGACAACTATTCTATTAATTTTATTGGTCAACACATGTCACACGATCAAATCTTCACTATAACTTTGTTATATCCGTTTTAGAAAAAATCTTCTTATATCTTATATCGAGAGTTTACTAATTAGCTTCATTATATCGAACGAAAGTTTATTAATAATGGTTTTGCTATAAACAAATTCTTCACTATAAATCTATCTTCACTATAACGAGAGTTCACTAACATCAGGAACCGTCGATGTTACACAACTGATCCTTCACCCGGTGTACAACATATAAACAAATCATTTTACAATACCAAATCATTCCGCTAGTACAAGTTATGATTATAATCCCACACCATTTTTATTATAATAAAATGGTGTGGGATTATAATCACAACATGTACTAGCAGAATGATCTGGTATTGTAAAATAATTTTTTTATATGTTGCACACCGGGTGAAGGATCAGTAGTGTAACATCGACAGTTACTCCTGTTGATTTCATTATAACGAGAGTGGCAAATCTTACGTTTTTGATACTTTTACACTTACTTTTTTGATACACCTAAACATACCCTAAAACTAATCAATAGGACTGTATGTTTTTATAATAAAAAGTATAAAAATTTTAGGATATATCAAAAAAGTAAGTGCAGGAGTATCAAAAATGTAAGTTTTGCACGAGAGTGACTTGTATTTGCCTGAATTTTGCATGTGATGATCATGATATCTAAAAATAGATTAGCCAATAAAAATTTTTAAAATCAAAACAATAATATTGATTCGTTTTACGCGGCGGACCTTTTGGAATTGTTACTAATAAAAGTATGCCTATTTTTGGTTCTTTGAACTTTGAGCTTTGTTGAACATAAATACGAGAATTTCAAGCTGCAAGATTAAGAGATAAAGTCTAAGGCTTTGTAAAACCAAACAATACATTCTATATTGTGCTAAATAAAGCAACCAATCAATGTAAATTTAATGCAAGACAAATTCGCAATAATCACAAGCTTATTGGTAGATCTTATTCATAAATATCACAAAATCCGTCTAGAGGTTGGAGCAGGTTTTAATAATTCGGGTTTATCACGTAAACTATGATATTATAGAATTTATTAAATTTAATTGGATTATATTCTAAAATATCACAAAATTCACGTGATAAACACGAATTATTAAAACCGCCCATATGACCGTAAATATACTACTGTACTATGATCAGGGACGGCGAATAAGTACTATTTATTTCCCACGCAGGCAGGAATAAAAGGTAAATCCTCTCAATTAGCCGGGGCCCAAAGGGCCCCAGCTAATTGGGATTTACCAGGTTATTCCTCCGAAGCAGGAA